TTAATTTACGCCAAATTGTGCTGATACCTTCTAGAATATTCAAATGCAAATTCAGGTATATGCCCAAGTCCAAAATCACCATCCATACCTAATGGATCCATCAAAACTCCGATCCGAGGTCAAGTACTAAAAAGTCAAACTTGGTCAACTCTTCCAACTGAAAGCTTTCTAGTTAAGAATCATTCTTCCAAATAAATTTCGATAACCTGAAAACCAAAACTGACAATTCACATAAGTTATAATAAATCATACGATTCTACTCAAGACTTCAAATAGCTGAACGGGATGCAAATGCTCAAAACAATTGGTTGGATCGTTATATTCTCCGCCACTTAAACATACGTTTGCCCTCGAACATGCCAGGAGTTGTTCCAAAACCATCAAATCACTGTGTAATCTTACTATGCACATACTCGGGGGTGATGTCATTACCCAAACCGATGGACCACAATGGGCACCCGGTACCTTACTCAACCGGGTACCAACGTAATGTATCTTTCTTATTACATCATCATAGGTAAGTAGACCAGAAGGGGGCATCATGAGATAACCAGAGTAAACATGAGATAATACCCAACATAGAATGACCCAACTTGATATAGAAACTCATACATATGACATACGGGCCTATAAGGACAATGTGATCCATTATATACTTAAAATATAGGCTGATAAGGCCATACAAGTATCCATATACATGACATCTATCTACAAGCCTCTAAGAGTACATACTTATCATAAAGGTTGGGACAGGGCCCTGCTATACCAAACAATACACGTCTAAATCATATTGACCAAACAAGTAACTCCGGAGCAAACGGAGCGCACCAACATCTTCCGCTGAGCTAATAGCCTACTTTGAGGACTCTTACTTGTCTATTGGGACCTGCGGGCATGAAACGTAGCATCCCCGGGAAAAAGGGACGTTAGTACAAATAATGTATCGAGTATGTAAGGAGTGAAAATAAGTAAATAATAGACATGAGATTAACATGGAGTAAAAGACTCGACATGTAAGTCTGAATAACTTTGTAAATCATGAAATAATCATAGTGTCATGCATATGCATATGAATGTCATGTGTGTATAGGTACATATGTTCATAATATCATCAAGCCTCTGAGGATATCCCATCATATCATCTAGGTCACCGTGGGAAAAATCATCAACGTATNATATATATATATATCTGGTCATGGGTTAATGTAAATAAATGCATTGCATGCGAAGTACGTCAATAAAATCTTTCGGAGTGTCCTAAGAACATTATGCCTTTGATTAATATCATGAAGTAAACTTTATCAAATTACATATTTTTTGAGACCCATGAACAAATGATAAAATAATAGGACACATGGAAAATCAAGAACATAAGCATCTCTTGCATTTCTATGAATCGAGTCATTTATGGAAGTTGTGCATTTACTCGTATCACTTGTATCGTATAGATCATGCCAAAAAGAAAGAAATGATAGCCTTAACATACTTGAGATTATTATCTTGACAATCTCTCTAACACACATCAATTGCGACAAATCACGTAATGGTAGATCGAAGTAGGGGAAAATCTGTATGATGTTCTTGAAAAAGATTGCACTGCACTCCCTTAAAATTTGCAATTCACATTGCACCTTGTAGGAGTTCATAAGAATTCCTTCATCAAGCTTTTCGTAAGAATTCCTTTGAATTCCATTCGTTACTACATATGTGGTCATAAGCATGTCAATTTTGTTATTTTAAGAGATCTTTTATAAGTGGGTATGGGCCCCACACTTTATATGACTAAGCCACACATAATCCTTTAATTGTGACACCTTGCCATATGACTCAAGAGTCATTTAATTGACCAATCTTGCTGCCATGTTAATGTCTTCTTAAACTTATCAAAATTTTCACCCCTTTTCCTTAATCAACTTATTAATCCTCCACTAATCCAATAATTAACCAATTACCCACATAATTAAGAATTAACTCAAATTACTTAAAATATTACTTACTTTTAAGACACATTATACACCTTACTATCATGGTCATGTGGTACCTTGTGCTTGCTTGCACCATAGATTTCCTTGTGTTATTCTTGAACATCAAGTGAGACATCACATAGTCCCTAACTCTTTATGTACTCTCTTAAATAGACCTCTCAATACCTAGAAACCATAGGTTGGAAGATATGCCATTGACGATGCCGCTATCATTCTTGGATATTGAATCTTAGTGCTTTTAGCCTTCTATCAGAAGCATGGATTATTCACAATTTTCTACACCTGAGTAGCTCATGCGTTGTTCACCTTTACCTTAATTACCTTAAAATATCGTTTCACCTCTTCTACTCCTTTCATAACCTCCCTTCCACATAGGTATAATTCACCTCCACAACTTGAAGCTCTATTATAATACTTGCACCTCTGGTGCATACATAATCCGGTGGGAGCTTCATACTGACTTCTTATGAGCCTGGTACTCTTCTAACTTATAAGCAGGAGTAGTTTTTTTTTCTCGACTCAGTCCCTCAAGAACCCCGTCGAAAGGGATTCGTCGTCGGGCCGAGCCATTTATCTAAATTAACAACAAAAAAACTACTCCTGCTTAACAAAAACTATAAAGTCAACATGAAACAAACAAAACAACCCGGCAATTTGTACAACTACATACAACATACAATGAAGGAATCCCCCACCCCACACTTAAAAAAGAAGACATATCCCCATGGCTTAAAATTTAAAAGAGCAGTGAGATAAAGAGACTTCTCTGAAGCTTCACTCTTGATCAGAAACGGTTTCGGGGTTCACGTTGCACGCACGCCCCAAAGCTCGCAGCCAACCCATGAACTTCTTTTCTGACTTGACTTGTCAGTTAGCTATCGCGTCCATACAAGTGCCCAAATCATTCATAGAGGTGCATAGACCAGCTACCTCCTGCTCCAATGTAGTGTGCCGGGACACTCTGGCAGTTCCTAAAAAGGATGCTGCTCTTGACAGTGCTGCAGCTGTTGCGCTGGGCGCATGGGCATGCGCTTCGCTCTCCACATCCATTTGCTCTTCCTCTTCCTCCACCAATGTATCAGAACCACTCTCATCCTCTCCATCTGCCACTGCTGCTAGGGCTGCCCCCGAGGTGTTCTTGCCAGGTCGGATCTTGTGGCTTTTTCTTACCAGCCCATCCACACGAGTACTTTTAGGTACCTGCACTTTCCTGCAAAGCTTAGTCACCAAGGATGGTAAAAAGAACCCATACAGGCGTTGGGGCATCGGATAAACATCTCTTCGTGGATAACTTTGGCCATGTCGAAGGGAAGACCTTGATGAAACACCAAATCAATTCAGCCCGGGGTCCATGCACCTCCGTAGTATTTTTGGAGGGAATAAGGCGACTATTAATCACATACAGCCAGCTCTTCGCCTCTGGAGTTAGGACGGAGGAGTGGAATTTCTCTCCATGTTCCAGCCACTCTACCATTTTTCCTGGTACGCAAATTTCATCAAAGAAATGCTCCCACTTGGCATCAGTTGGATTTTGCCCATATTCATAAAAGTCAGTATTCCCAGGCAGAGGGTCGGGAAATTGATATGCTATGCGTATCGCCTCAATGGAGTCATCCACCGCCTTGCAGCACACTGTGACCACATGGTGGACATGCTCTGGTAGATTAGCATAGAATTCGCGTACAACCATTACATTAGCCTCCCCTGGCTCGTCAATGAAGGCCTGCAAACCCCGCTCCATCAACTCATTGTACATGTGGTGGCATTGTTCCTTGACCTTTTTGATGTCAATGCCCCTCTCCGGAATTGGCTTCTTGGCAGCCTTCTCTATAAAATGGGTTTGATCCTCAGGGGAGACAAATTTGTTGTTGTCATAGGGACGTGCAGGAGCTGCCCTTTGGCGGCTTGAGGATGGACCCATGGCTTGGCACTTTTTCGATGGTGCCATAATACCTGCAAAATGTGGACACATTAGCTCACCCCAACAAAATTAGTGTGACATAATGTGGTTACTCAGACTTCACACGCAAAATTGGTCACAAATACATAATCATGCTCATTGAGGCCTTTCCACAAACACCTTGTGGGCATTAGGCTCTCACAACTCTTTTCTAAGTGTTTTGCAACAAGGGCCCCCCACAAAATCTCATCTAGAACCCAACTCAAGTGCTACCCACCCCACACTTACAATAAACTAACCCCAAAACATATTTCACCAAGTTTGAACACCAAATCACAAAACACATCTACACTAATGGCATAAGATACAACATAAAAAAAAATCTGAAAATAGAAAGAGAAAAAGAAAGAAAACTACAACTAGGGATCATACCTTGTTGAAAATCATGAGAGAGGGGGATGGGGGCAGGGGTGTTGGAATTTGGTGTTTTTGAAGGAGTTGGGAGAGTTTGGAAGAGGGAATTTGGGTTTTGCTTAATAGAAGGGGCGGGGGGTAATTGTGTCTAAAACAAATAACCAATTAAACTACAAAAATAAAAAAAAATAAAAAGAAAAACTAAAACTAAAAAGAAAAACAAAACGCCTGAAAAGTTCCAGGCAGAATGGTCCGCCCAGGCGCGCTAACTTGTGCGCGAAGTTTTGGAGCTCATGCGTTTCTTCGCGCGGTGCTGTTGAGTTCCAGGCAGAATGGTTCACCCAGGCGCGCGAACTTGTGCGCGAAGTTTTGGAGCTCGCGCGATGCTGTTGAGTTCCAGGCAGAATGGTTCTCCCAGGCGCGCAAACTTGTGCGTGAAGTGGGCGCGAGCTCGCGCTCCTGGGAGTTTATTTTTGCATTTATTTTCATTTGGTTTGGTCCTAGTTGATGGTCCTTTCACCCGCCCTTCATCGCCTGCATTTGTTAGTAAGTTAAAGCTCAAACTCAAATACTACTACTATTGTTGGGTTGCCTCCCAACCAGCGCCTTATTTAACGTTGTGGCACGACGGTTACAACATTTTAATAGGCTGCCTCCCATCCAGCACCTGATTTAACGTCGCGGCACGACTCAACATGTTCTCAAGCATCCTTCAAGTCCACTGAGGTCTTGTGACATGCAAAGTCACCACCCCAGTAATGTTTTATCCGTTGACCGTTCACCAAGAAAGTGCCAGTTGAACTCATATCTCTCAACTCCACGGCTCCATGAGGCTTCATGCTTACCACAACAAAAGGGCCTGACCAACGAGATTTAAGCTTTCCAGGGAAAAGCTTCAACCTCGAATTGAACAACACAACTTCTTGCCCTAGCTCGAACTCTCGATGTTGAATGTGCTTGTCATGCCACCTTTTAGTCTTCTCTTTATACAATTTGGCATTCTCATATGCATGTAATCGAAACTCATCGAGCTCATCGAGTTGCAGCAACCTCTTCTCTCCAGCTAAGTCCCCATCCATGTTCAGCTTCTTTATTGCCCAACAGGCCTTGTGCTCAAGTTCGACGGGCAACTGACATGTCTTTCCATACACCAATCTATAAGGAGAAGCACCTATGGGAGTTTTGTATGCTGTTCGATACGCCCACAATGCGTCGTCTAACTTTCCGGCCCAATCTTTTCTATTTGCACTCACTGTTTTCTCAAGAATTTGCTTTACCTCTCTGTTTGAAACCTCCACTTGACCACTCGTCTGTGGGTGATAGGCAGTGGAGACCTTATGCTTGACCCTGTACTTTGCAAGGACATTGTTTAACAGTTTGTTGTAGAAATGCGTACCTCCATCGCTTATCAACACTCTGGGAGTTCCAAAGCGTGTGAAGATATGCTTCTTGAGAAAGTTTACCACCATATTCTTATGAATTCCTACAAGGTGCAACGTGAATTGCAAATTTTAAGGGAGTAAAGTGCAATCTTTCTCAAGAACATCATACAGATTTTCCCTACTTCGATCTACTGTTACGTGATTTGTCACAATTGACATATGTTAGAGGGATTGTTTTAAGATAATCGGCTCAGGTATGTTAAGGCTATCCCTTCTTTCTTTTTGGCATGATCTATACAATACAAGCGAAACGAGTAAATGCACAACTTTCATAAATGACTCTATTTATAGAAATGCTAGAGATGCTTATGTTCTTGATTTTCCATGTGTCCTATTATTTTATCATCTGTTCATGAGTCTCAGAAAATACATAAGTTGATAAAGTTTACTTCATGATATTAATCAAAGGCATAATGGTCTTATGACACTCCGAAATATTTATTGACGTACTTCGCATGCATTGCATTTATTTATATTAACCCATGACCATATATATATATATGGGAAAAGGTTATGGCATTCCACCACCTGATCAGCTGGTATACGTTGATGATTTTGTCCACAGTGGCTGAGATGATATGCTGGGATGCCCTTAGAGGCTTGATGATGTTATGAACACATGTACCTATGCACGACACGACATTCATACGCATATGCATGACACTATGAGTATTTCATGATTTACAAAGTTATTTAGACTTACATGTCGAGTCTTTTACTCCATGTTCCTCTCATGTCTATTATTTACTTATTTTCATTCCATACATACTTAGTACATTATTTGTACTGACGTCACTTTTGCTTGGGAATGCTGTGTTTCATACCCGCAGGTCCCGATAGACAGGTCGAGAGTCCTCCAAGTAGGCTATAAGCTCAACGGAAGATGTTAGTGCGCTCCGTTTGATCTGGAGTTGCTTGTTTGGTCAGTATGATTTAGATGTGTATTTTTTGTATGACAGGGCCCTATCCCGACCTTTATGATAAGTATGTACTCTTTGAGGCTTGTAGACAGATATCATGTATACGAATACTTGTATGGCCTTGTCGGCCTATATTTTAAGTATATAATGGATCACATTGGCCTTATAGACACGTATGTCACAGGTATGAGTTTCTATATCAGGTTGGGTTGTTCTATGTTGGGTATTCCCTCATGTTTACTCTAGTTATCTCATGAAGCCCCCTTCTGGCCCACTTACCTATGATGATGTAATAAGAAAGATACGTTACGTTGGTACTCGATTGAGCAAGGTACCGGGTGCCCATAGTGGCCCATCGGTTTGGGTCGTGACAGAAGTGGTATCAGAGCAATTCTGTCCTAGGGAGTCTACAAGCTGTGTCTAGTAGAGTCTTGTTTATGGGTGTGTCGTGCACCACACTTATAAGTAGGAGGCTACGAGGCATTTAGGATTGTCACTCTTTCTTACTGGGCATTTAGGATTGTCACTCTTTCTTCTTACTCTAGATCGTGTAGTAGAGCTCAGTTGTAGAAATTCAAATTCCTAAATTCTACTTTATTCGTAATATGACAATGCCTACATATAGAAAGACGGTTGGTAAGAGATATAGATGTGGAAGAGTTGAGTCAGAGGAACTCGATTTTTCATGATGCTTATGATGAGTAAATCTAAGGTCTTTAATAGATCATGTGTGTACTAAGACGTGTAAGTCTCTCGATAAGGAGCCTTAAGGCAAGAATATCTATCCACTCTATGGTGTAGGGCAATGGGAGATTCAGAAGATAGATACAAGTTTCAACAAGTAAAAGAAGCAAGGTAAAAAAGGGAACGAGGTACCCAGTTACTGAAGATGATCATTATCTACAATTCGGGAAAAGAGATATAAGTATTATGAGTTACCTTCAACAGTAACAGAGGTATGTACAATTGGCCATACCAATCAAATTGCCCTATGTGAGCTAACGAAAATGGTTTAAGAGGTAGATGGGATATCAGGATCCGGCTGGAGTTAGAATAACCCAAAATTGTGGATGGATTGTTAGCATTAATTGACATTTCTGAAGGATATTGCAATTGTGCTAATAAATCTCCAGGATACTAGTCCATAAATACCAGATATTATAGCTCGGACCGTATTTTATCTCAAAATGACGAACTTCGACGAAACTCATTTTCTTTGATTTACTTACCCTCTCACCTTTACGAACTTGTTTGAAACAACATAATACTTATAATCTCCAAATAATTTTGTCATTGAACTGATGTCAATTATCTTACGACAAATTGAACGTACAATACTACAGGGTGTAACATAGTCGTAATATAATATTGCGGAACGTAACATCGACGTAATATCACGGGGTGTAACATCATCGTAATATAATACTGGGAGGTGTAACATTATTGTAATATAATACTGCGAGGCGTAACATCAATGTAATACTGGGGCATAACATCATTCCCCCCTTTGGAACATTCTTCCTCGAATGTTGACTGATGAACTTCTCATTCTCATAACCCATAGCTCTTGCAAATACTTTAATATTCTCCTTTACATTTAGGCTACTGTTCTTTGAATAAATATAAAGGCTGATAATGGGCAAATTCTAGGTGATTTAGCTATTGTTTATGCTTCCGCTTGATTATATTCCAATGACATATTATGGTTAATTGATAAAAAATAGGCTTTAATTGTGATATGTATACATTGCAGGACGAGGAGCCTGTATGATGCTTTCAAGAGGATATTGGAATGATTTATGAGTAAGAACAACCCCTCGGAGTTGAGGGCGCACAAGGACGAGATGAAAAAATGGACGAAATCAAGCTCCAGGTGCGCGAAGAAACGCGTGAAGGCGCGCAGGAGTTCACGCATAAGAAATTGCATGCATGTGACCTCTTTTGTGAGAGTGAGTGATTTCCTTGATATATGTGAGTATATGAATTGAATGTGGTAGATTGAACTCAGTTTTTGTTGATGTAATCAGTCAACGGCATTGCCTAAAGAAATTGTCCAAGAGGCTCACCAAGATCGAGTTCAAACATGTCCCCAGAGTCTAGAATGATTTGTCGATGCTCTTGCAATGCTGTCATCCATGATTCAACACCTGGGCAAGGATTACATCGATCCCATTGAGGTAGAGATCCGGGATCGGCTTGCATACTGCCTCCACGTAGATGAAGAACCAGATGTAAAACCTTGGTACTATGACATCAAGAGGTTCCTCAAGGCGAGAAAATATCCTGAGAATGCCACTAACGGTCAGAAGCGAGCATTGAGGAGACTAGCAAATCACTTTTTCTATAACGGGGAAGTCCTGTATAAAAGGACCCCGGACTTGGGTCTATTAAGGTGTGTAGATGCTGCTAAAGCAACAAAGTTATTGGAAGAAATACATGCAGGAATGCGCGGGCCTTACATGAACGGTTTCACTTTAGCCTGGAAGATTCTAGAGCCGGATACTTTTGTATGGCCATGGAAAGTGACAACATCCGCTATGTGCAAAACTGTCACTAGTGTTAGATTCACGGGGATTTTATCCAGGGTCGGCCCGATGAATTAAACGTAACGGGTTCTCCCTAGTTATTTGCCTCTTGTTGCATGGATGTAATTGGACCTATAGAATCGGCCACATCAAATGGACATTGTTTCATCTTGGTATTATTTCACCAAATGGGTCGAAGATTCCACATACAAGGCTATTACAAAGAAGGTAGTAGCAGATTTCATCCGTAACAACATAGTCTGCCGATTTGGGATTCTAGAGTCAATATAAATAACAATGCAACCAATCTCAATAGTGATCTCATGAGGTAAATTTGCGAGAAGTTCAAAATCATCCATCGTAATTGCACAACATATAGGCCATAAATGAATAGAGCAGTTGAAGCAGCCAAAAAAACATCAAGAGGATCTTACAAAAAATAGTGGACAATCATAAGCAATGGCATGGGAAACTATCGTTTGCCCTACTTGGTTACAATAACACCATGAAGATATATACCTAGTCAATGCCTTACATGTTGGTACATGTTACAAAAATTGTAATACCCGCAAGGTCGAGATACCATCTTTCAGAATTATTCAGGAAGCCAAGATGGACGATGTACAATGGATACATGTCAGACAAGAACAACTTATGCTCATCGATCAAAAGAGAATGGATGCAGTTTGTCACGGTCAGTTGTACCAAAATAGGATGGCTAATGCATTTAACATTGAAAGTGAAACCTCAGTAGTTCACACTAAGGCAGCTAGTTTTAAAGAAGATATTCCTCCATCAAGAAAAAGCGAAAGGGAAGTTCGCGCCAAATTAGCAGGGTCCCAATGTGGTCCATCGAGCATTGTCAGGAGGAGCATTGATCTTAGTATAAATGGACGGCCTAGTAAGCACAAAGCCCATCAATTCAGACGCAATCAAGAGATACTACATTTGTAGACCATAGAGTTAGCTTTCATTGTAAATGAACTAAGCTCGACCTGACTTCCCACGATTGGATACGTAGGCAACCCATATAACATCAGGTCCTACTTTTGTAATAGTAAACCTAAAACATCATTTCCATGTATTCGGAACTACGACACAACTTGATTTCCTTTGGTACGAATACGTAGACAATCCATATCAGATTCAAACATCTATTGTAATCGAACTATATTTTGACCTTATTCTATTTGGATATGGAGGTAGTCTGAGTCAAACTCGGTCATATTATTTGAAAATTCTATCATCTTGCATCTATTATAATCGAACTACGCTTGACATGATTTCGTTTTGGATACGTGGGCAGTCTAAGTCACACGCGGTCATATCATTTCAAAATTCTGTCATTTTGCATCTATTGTAATCAAACTATATTTTGACCTTATTTCATTTTGGATACATAGGCTGCCTGACCCAGGCTCAATCATTTCATTATTTCAATTACTCATACCCTTGAACTACGCTAAGACCATATTCGATTTGGATATTTGGGCAGTCTGGAAAGGCTCAATCGTCACCTTAGAAAAAGCCTTTGTAATGCATTGCCTTGATAAAGAAGTGATCGCATCAGCAAGGAAGTTAT